AGAGGAAATAGCCACTCCCGAGGCAACATTCTATTAAACCAAGGTACCCAGGCGGTAAGTTATTCTGAATTAGGTGTTGCTTTATTATGTCAAGTGTTTCCGACACAGGCACGTTAGTGAAGAGGGATGCAACATCAAAGCTGACCATTATCTCGTCGTCTTGGATCTTTACGTCTTTGACTTTTTTAGCCCAATGGTTGAATATTTTCGCGTCAATTTTTTTTTCTGATTATTTTATAACAAGTAGAATCGTTTAAAAAAAGAAAAAAAGCACGTGCATATTCCCTATTGGAAATTAATAGTTAATAGAGTAAGCAAAAATATTTTTTTGACTATTCCTTTTTAATAATTTTTAGAAATTCTAAAGGTACACCATATCGAATTCAAATTACACTGAAAATGCGAGCTCTTATTATTGCCGGATGCCAAAAAACCCTTGTAGATCCATACCGATTTTGACGAATAAGATGTCATTCGATTCGTCTTTTACCCTGAAATGTCGGAATATGTACACAGATACAAAACAACTTTTTTGATTAGACCCTAGGTACGTAAAATAGGCTAATTGCTCGTCGCGGTTTGCAAAACAGTTTTTATTGTGCAAACAATGAAACTTAATTTCGCTTGTTTTACAAATGCTGCAGTTAGCCAGTGTACCATGAAAATAATTGAATTTCACCGAAGTGAGCTTGAGGTTTTATTTTCTAGTATTTTCTTCGTGATAATATCGTTCACCGCTACTGGTTCATTTCAATACTTTTATATACATCTTGTTCATATATACAAATGCGAATCTTTATATGGTTGGATGTTTTTATGTAGTTCTAATACACCGAAATGGACTTAGATGAATTTGCCACTGAGGTCCTCTTGTGACGAAGTCGAAATTGTACTAAATATTTAACTTTTTTAATGTTATTCAGTCGACATTATAAATGAGAAACACTTCTACTTCATTAGAGTAGCGAAACTCAGCACATGTTGGAGAAGATATTCAAATTAAGCAGAGTATTGTAATACTTTAAACTTCCGAATTCATCGTATCAAACTTTTCGTAGGATTCTGACTTAAAGGCGGAAAAACAGATGTCAGTAAAGCGTAGTAGCTGGCACGCCAGCTACTAGCACAATGTCTTCAGATATGCTAGCAAAATGGCAACGAGATCTTATGAGACGAGACGAATCTTAGTCAAGTTTCGTACCCCCCTCGATTCCTACCAGTACTGCCAGCATCTGGTATGCAAATGAGCCAGCTACTTTCACGTGTACACCCGTCCTAAGAAACAACTGGTTTGTAAAGTTATTCCATATGGTAAATTTTGTTATTGTGATTTAATTAACTTGTGGTTTTTAATTTGTTAGAGTTATACCTTTGACCAGGTTCAATTAATGTTGCCAAAAATCTTTTTTATTAAATGCTAGCTGTTGCCCGCGACTTCGTTTTTTTTTTTTATAACATAAGGTGGCAAACGAGCAAGCGGCCACTAGAATCCGCCAAAATGGCGAGGCGACCGCTGCCCATAGACATCCGCAATTGCACATGCGTTGCCTACCCTTATACGACGGAGGAGGAGACGCACATAAAGAGGATATTTCCCCTTCCTATGCATCTCCTCCACCGCCAAATCCACTTCCCTTTTACAACCTCTCCTTATAAGAAAAAGATGGTAAAGAGAAAGGGACTTAAATTAGGCCTTTCGGCACCACACTCATCAAACGAAACACGGAATTGCTTCCATTTCACGCCTGTCTTCTGTGTGGTCGTGGTATTACACCGGGCGTGCCGGTCCATTCGTGCTAAGATGTTAAAGCGGGCACTACCACTGTATAGCACTACCGTCCACGCAATATTGAAATAAAAAGTAACCTATAATATGCCCGTCTAGTGAAAGTTCGGTTGAAATCGGCCAAGCCGTCGTAGATTACTCGAAACAAACGCGGCTTGCGGACAGATAGACAGATAAAAAATTTATAAATGCGATTTTCGTTATCAGCAACGCACATCCATCATCTTCCCGAAATCAGGAATTTTTCTTATAATGTTATAAACAGACAATCAAATTATATTATATGTATAGATAGACATAGCTTTCGCTCGTGACTCCGGCCGCGTGGAATTAAATGGACTATCCTCTACATCTATACTAAATTTCAACGAAATCCGTTTAGCCGTTTAGGCTACAAACTCTAACAAACATCCATTCAACTAAACATTCGCGTTTATAATATGAGTAAGATAAAATAATAGATAAAAGATATAGATGGGATATGTACGATTCAATTATTTATTAATTTACAGTAAAAATTGGGCAAGGATTTTTGTATGTCAGTTTTATTTCTTAAATATATGTTTTTAAACAACGTAGGATAAAATTCAAATTGTGTCTATCAGTAAAACATAGAAATTGGTTTTATTTAAATTTGAATAGACGCCTAAATCGCACGAGCACTGAATTTGACTAGCAAGGACAATTTTCAGTTCTCTTGGGAAATTGCGAAATATTCCAATATTTGAATGATGAAAATAGGGCTAGTTACTAACAGTTTGAATTTTTCTCTTCACAATGTAATTCTAGATTTTAAAATTTCTTATGCAACTAGCATACTTTAATTAAAAAAAAATGTACTTACTCTTTTTACTATCATCTGGAAATTTACTTTTCATATCCACTTTAAGTTTTTTTTTATAATATAAGGTGACAAACGACCGCTACCCATAGACATCCGCAATTGCAGATGCGTTGCCTACCCTTATTCAACAGAGGAGAAGACGCACATACAGAGGATGTTTGCCCTTCCTATGCATCTCCTCCTCCGTCAAATCCACTTCCCTTCCCATCCTCTCCTTAAAAGAATAGGGTGGTAAAGAGAAAGGGACTTAAATTAGGCCTCCGGCACCACACTCATCAGACGAAACACGGAATTGCTTCCATTTCACGCCTGTCTTCTGTGTGGTCGTGGTATTACACCGGGCGTGCCGGCCCTGCAGTGCTAAGATGTTAAATCGGACACTACCATTGTAAAAGTTTTTAATAGATGAGAACTATGTAGTAACAATTCAAGATTAATAAGACTGACTCAATTAACCCCATATGCATGCTTTAATTGCTATAAGATTTGTATTTTTGTCTGTAACTAATTAACATTAAAACAAAGGTTATATTTATTACAATGTTTATTAATCCGCGAGGAAAAACTGTAGTTAAATAAAAAATAAATCTTCTTTCACATGGGACTTGTTAAGGCAAATGGATGATTAGAAGACTTTATAATTAAAGCTTTTTCTTTATGCAAGCTTGGGTGAGATTGTTATAATTGTAAAGGTAAGCCCGAGAGACCTTTACGTTTTTCTTTTACCAGGCTCACTTTTTAAACTGGTGAATTGTGCAAACATGTTCGTTTAGAAAAGATGTCGACTATAACACGAAAAATATTGTGTAGGTTAACATTGTATTTGGAAAATAATAAATACTCCATTAATTTATGTTTTACAATGTTTCGGCACCCGGCAATTTTGTAAACTAAAAAATTTCAATTTTTTTAATTCAATATTAGGATATTGGTGTCATGTTTTGATATAATTAAGTAAGTTCACTTCGTATCGTTTACTTTACGAATTTTGTGTTGTTTTTTAATGTTATCTAATGAAAACATCATGATTAAAGTGTTTAAATCGCGAACAAGAAGCCGGGCGATCCAATTACATTTGAAAATAGAATTAAACTTGATTCTGTTTGAACATGAAAGTGTTACCATGTGCAACCATTTGTTGATTAAAGAAATTATCTAACTCCTATATAGATATACATGAATCTCTTGGCACCCGGCAATAAGAAGTGACATTTAATGTCAGGGTAATAATGACATAGCTTGTCAGTTCACTTCCCGTCATTACTTTACGGATCTTGTGTGGCTTTTTAATGTTATTCCATGAAATAAAGTGATGAAAGGGTTTAAAAGTAGTGCAAGAGAGTTTTTTTTAAGTGGGGGATATTTTTATCGCTGAGAAGAAGTAGGGGGGTCCAGTAATTACATTTGAAAATGTGAATCATCTTGTGTCTGTTGCAATCACAATTTGTTATCATTTGTTAATCAAGACATTCCCTAACTCTCAAGGCGACGCATATTTTTTTAATTTGTAATAAAAATAAATGTGTTATATACTAATTGACTTAAAAATATTTTGCTGAAAGTTGTTTTATTCCCTATTTCAAATTGCAGTGACCGACCCTTTATTGTAAAGTGTTTTGTGCACCTGGAAGTATGGCCTTCTTGACGTTAATTTCATATTTACTTACGTATTAAGGAAATTACTGTGTGTACTCATTAATGTATCAAAAACTAACCACATAGTTGTTCTGTGCGTTGATTATAAACAACAATAATTAAGATTTCTATTATTCTGTAGATAAGCGCTAAGTAAGACTATTTCTATTATGTTAAGACTATTCCATCCCGAACTGTCTCAAAAGACTGCATTGCTAAAAGTTTGCTACAAAGATTCTTTCACTACAGAGCTTTCTAAGCAACAAACGATGTCTGAGGCATTTCCTAATTACATTGTAAGGTACAAGTACTTCCTTTACAACTTGCGTTTTCGTTTTCAGAAGAAAATAATTTCCCTTTAATGCGGACATATTACCTTGCTGGTAACCCTAAATGCTCAGAGGCGCCATCCTGTCAATGTCAAAAAGGTGCCACAATATCCTTGTGGCACTGTATACAACATTCAATTGATATTTATGACATCATGTTATTATCATTTGACGTTGTCAGAGGGGAAGAATATTATCTACAATTTACATACTCTTTGATCTACAATTCTGTCATAAGTTTTCCCAGATTTTTTCATTCAAATTATTTTTTGATAAAGTTAATTATAAAAATAGTATTAAAGTTATTTTAGTTCCGTGTTGTTTTTATACACAAGGAGAAATCTTTAATTAATACCCACTTTATTTCATTAAAACGTATTTAATAATTTAAGGATTTAAACATTAAACAAACAAAGAATGTCTACGTTTTAATATTTATTTTCAGATTTGGGCAATTGTTGTTCCAATTTTTATATTTTCCTCTTGAAATGTCGAATAGTTGCTTCACTCTTACCTTTGCGGTAGAAGTCGTACTTAATGAAGAAAATCCTCAGCATGACAATACTAGTGCGGACTGGACGGAACTGGGCCCCTGTAGCCAAGGTTTAAGGCTTCACTATAACTTATATCAAGGATATACGTATGACGTAGATGTTCTGATGTGGCCGAATGCTGGTAAAGTATGTAACTATTTGTTTTTTGATGCATTTATAACTGTTAATGTTCCTAATATTTCTAATTTACAATACCATTGCTTTTATCACTGGGACTTTTATTTTTGTGAAAGATATGGTGTGGGAACAAATACGGTTGGGTGAGAACTTGGCAATTCTTTAATAAGCTTTGGATGGTTTTCACGATACGACATAAATTTCCAGTAAAGGTTGAAGAATTCCGTTTTCTAGAGATTGTCATTGCACCTACCATCGGTATTGGATCGTTAGGTTCCAAGTAAGTTTGGTACCAGGATAGAATATTAAAAAATAGTTTTAATCGTAAAAGTTTTTTTTTTATTTCCAGCGCTAGAAATGACAAAGATTTCTTTGTATTAATACCACCTCTAGAGTTCGGTGAGCTGCGATATTTTGGTAAAATTGTAGAGAGTGGAGACGATGGTGTCATTAAATCAATTATAAATTCGATTTGGAAAAATGTTATAAAACACATCCCAGCTTCATGTTTTGATGGAGAATTCGATACTCCGTTATTAGTATCAGGTTCGGATTTATTATAACATAAGTAATAGATCACTTTACAGTGTAATTTTAGATTTTTATGCGAGAAAAATTTTGCACCAGTCTGTAAATATTACGTATTTTCGCATGTACTAAGTCAAGGATAATGCAACTATCTAACGGCGAAGGATTTTTTAAATCGCTTCAGTAGTTTAGAATCTAATTCAATGCAAACAAGAAATCATTAACTATAACGTTTTTCGCGACGAACGTCAACTGCACAGTTAAAAGTGGAAGTGCGAAGGCTGTAGAGTTTAACTGATAGTTTAAATTTTGTCTACGTTAAGTTATTACTGTAATAATAATTATAGCTCAATTGAAATTAAAAAAATATAATGGGTTTGATAAACTCTATTTTTCTACATTAAAAAAAACTGACATTTTAATGTTAGATGTTCGACACCAGGACGCAATCTTAGGATTCATAAGAGAAACTATGTTGTCATCTAAGCTTCAGATCAATAACATTGGGGGTAGCGGTGACTTGTCACATCTCAAGGATAAAGGAAAAAAGAGTTCTCCCGAATCTGAAAGTTATAAACTGAAAATAAGCGGAGAAGTCATTCTTGCTGGTAATTAGTATTACATAATGAAGAGATTTAACAAATTTAAATAAACCTTAAAAACGATAAAGTACACCCGTTAATTAAAAAAAAACGAAGTTGAAGAAAAAAGAAAGATAAACAGTAAAGCGCACGCAAGCGCGCTTATATTAGCATAACACAGTAATTTTCACTTATCTACATAACTTCATAGCCTTACAAAATCTTTACAAGGTCAATTCTTTCGAATTTAAGTAATAATTATATTGCAGGGTCTGGAAGATTAAATCGACTACTTGAAGTCGGACATCGCTCAACACTCCACGGCCGCATTTTAGCTGTGGTTAGTGCTAGCAACTTGCCGGCACAAGACGATTTACCTATAATGTTCGTTAATATTAAAAACCTAGAAGGTGTACCAATAAATGAATTTAAAAAAGCTGGGTAAAGTATTCATTATTTCGAAATATTTTAGTGAAAGATTCAAATACTTCCTATTTGTTTTTCTGCAAATTTTTTCGGACGTTTCGTTAATTAATTTTTGTGATAACCTCATTGATTTTAAAACACATAATTTATATCCTTGTTAAGACATAAATTATAAATATTAACCTGAAAAATGTTTTACTTTCAATATATAATATATTTTCTATCCATTGTTTGGAGTATGTTGTAGAAAAATATTGCACTATCAATCCGACAAGTGGAACATAGCTGTTGCGATTTATAACATCTCTTTAAGTTTAAAAAAAAATGTAAATAAATGTTACAAATACAGTATTATCTATTTCAATCCAGTATTCATCAAATATATACACGTTGGAAAGTGGGAAAAACAGAACATGACTCCGTGTTACTTAATGTGACGACAAACACCAAATATCAATTTAATGATAACCACGTCATACCGATTGAAAAATCGTTAATTGTTGATATATTCAATGCGTTAATGGATAATGGCGTTGATGTCCAGGTAAATATAACATTGTAGAAACTTTATTATAAACGAGCTGTTGCCCGCGACTTCGTCCGCGTGGTATTGGAAAACATACAAACTATATAAATTACAAAAAGTTACGTATCCCTCGGGTACCGGACATTTCTCGGGGATGAAGCTTATCCCATGTGTACTCCAGACTTTGTTTTATATCTGTGTCCAATTTTAATACGATATGTTGAACCGTTGCAGAATGATCAAGTAAACATAAAAAACTAAAGTAATGAATCCTACGGGAACCGTAACTATTCCCGGGATAAAAAGTAGCCTATGTGTTCTTCCAGACTGTGCTCTAAACCTGTGCCAAATTTCATAGAGATCCGTTCAGCCGTTTAGGCTACAAATGCTAACAAATATCCATCCATCCATCTATCCATCCATCCATCCATCCATCTAAACTTTCGCATTTATAATATTAGTAAGATTAGTAAGATTGACTTTTTTACTGATTTACATTTTTATAAGACGTAGGTAGAGTAGTGAAAATCCAGCGGTTTTCTACTTTCAAAAAAATACCTTGTTCCTTACAACGAAACAAACGTCTTATAAATAACCAATTGAGTAGCAGTAAGTTGTGCGAACAATGGGGTAATAAAAATCTAGTAGTCGTGTACCACTAACCGACATCGTATAAACATATTTAAAACTGCATCCTATTAACTTTTATTCCGCGTCTTCGTCTCAATTTGTACTATACGCTTCAACGACTGTTTAATATATCAATATATTAAAGCGTGAACACTCATTTCTTTGTTATTTACATATGTCTGATGTCTTTGAATAAATCTTTTTTTTTATAAAATGCTTTACATTTACGACAGTCTAGTTAATGAATGGTGTTAAAATATGTTGGCTATGTATGTTTACACCATTTAATTTAGGGGTGAATTGTTTTGGAAAATATTTCCATGCGAAAATAGGACTAAAACTAGAAACTATGGAAGCACGACTGTATGGCAACGGTAATTGTTTACCAACGACAAATGAAGCCACGCTGGATCAGTTAGTAGCTTATAAGGTGGAACATCCAAAGATTACTCGATCATAGATACACACATATTTGGTTTATTAAAAATTTGATTTTTTTAGTACACGTAGTACTGACACACAGACAGGTTATCTACGAAAATGTGTGGGCAGTTTTTACAATAAAAAAAATGTTTTTTTTAGTTGCGGGGTTTAAGAAGAATTCAAAAGAAAGAGAATTTACAAAATTTTTTTAGCACCCAATCGAATGGTACTTCTTCTGGTTCTTTAAATATTGATATTGAAGACGATTTATTTATAGCAAGCACTCGTATTGATGTCCGAGAATTGTCCAAAGGATCAAATAAAGTCATATCTGGAGAGTTCTCTTTGTATCCAGAACAGACTGAATTTTTGAATTTAAAAAGTGACTGCACTAATTATGTTAATGATATAAGTATGCACAAGAACAAGATTGGTTTTCAACCGCATGTTGTATTTAATTCGCAAATGATGCTTGAACTATCCGTTGGTTTGCTTGGATGTGAAATAAGCTTATCGAAATGTTTTTCTCGACTCTACGTGTTAGTTGAAAACGCAAAAGTAGCATGTGATGTCTTAGAAAACATTGAAGAGATTAATCAAGTAATACATACGAAAGAAAATTACTTAACAGGATTTTATCTCGATACCGGTGACAAACAGTTCATTTTCGTGGAAGGTGAAAAGAATAAAGATATCGTCAAACTTTGGGAAGAAATCGAAAGTTATTCTTCTAATGTTAAATGCAATTTTTCAAGTTCAGATACCTATTTGGAAAGAATTTATCCAGGTGCGTATTTTTTTTCAATATATATTATTTAAAAGAAATTCCAAAAGGGTAGCACCATTATTGCTTTTGTCGTCTAATGTAGAATCACCAGTATTAGGTAATATTGTCGGAAGTAGCTAATTAAAGTACATTTTTTATTTACGTCTGCTTTTGCTTTATCCCATAACTAGCTTATCCCATGCGGCTTCATCCACATGAAATTGTAAAAACTTTATTTTATTGTTAATATTTCTCAAACTCTTCAATAATAATTGAAATGCACAAATGACAACGAAGGCTTTTGATATTGACTCCCTTGCTTGTAGTTTATGGTCCCTTTCCCACATTAAGGATTTTTTTCCAATTTATTTACCCCCAATATTGAAATGATAATTATTCAAAAATATGTTGTGATTGCTGACATCCAACGCCACAAAGTAGTATATGTTTACGCTTTATTATATTAGTATAGAGCATAGATATAGATAAGTAATAAGTATATAAGTATAAGTAAATAATTAATGTATTACAATACATCTTCTATATTTCTACAGAAGACAAAAAATATTATGTTCAATGTTGAGTCTGCTTTGAAGCGTCCGTTCCTTTTTAATGACTATTTTCTCATATGTATTTCCATATATCATTTTTTGTTTTTACAACAATGCTTTCTGTTTGTTTATTTTATAAATTGATTTAATCCTAGTAGAAAGTTTAACTTTTAGTGAATTCATTATTCAAATTAGTACATATAGATATTGCAATGGCTGTTATTATAGGCTTCATCCACATAACATAAATAAAACTTTTAAAGTATTGTTTACATTCCATAAAAGTTTCTATTGTGAATGGCAAAATTCAAATAACAAATCGGCCCTTATCGTTGCCTGAGAATTTAGGTTATCATGACAACATCTCTGGCTTTTAGGTTTTTGTCCCTATCTCGCAGAACAATTTTTTCCAATTTACTCACCCCCTAAGTTTAAGCGTGAAAATATGTAGCCGAAAGCGTAATTCGTTTTTTTTTAATTAATAAAAACATACCGAGATTGCTATACATAACAAAGAAGTGTAATGACATTTCATTTCATATAGATTTCGGTTTCTTTCTGATAACATAACATGTTTTTGTTCCAGAAATGGTTACTTCGAATAGGCCTTTCGATGTATTAAAAATGCGTGTGTCATTATCGTCTTTGTTGGCTTGCCCTCCAGTCTACGCTCTTCCTGTACTACCTTTGCCCTCTAGAATGGTAAACATTACACATTTTATACTAATCATTGCCAAGTATGGGCCGATATGCATAGACTTCAGACGGACTAATGTTGTTCGCTCGCGTTTTTTGACAACGAAAGTAAATGATGCCACTTGAAACTGCGCTTATTGACTGCTCGATGTAGTCAGTCTTGATGCTAATGATAGCTAGTAGTTAATGTAGCAGAGAGTGCTTCTAGACCGACAAGAATATCTGTCAATATTAAAACAATATCACAATGTCCCGTAGGTATACAAGGACCATATGGCACCCGAACAGTTTGTGAAATAACAATGTCACCTTGAAAGCGTCATATTTTGACCATTGGATGTGGCAATTGCATTTATATTGTCGCCCATGTAGGTTTTATTTAATTTCTGCTAAGCACCGATGGGTTTAATAAATTTTTCATCGTTCTGACTGCATTTTTGCCTTATTTTATGTTTTTGTTTAAGGCAATGATAAAGATAAGTCAAGTTATATCTGGTAAATTAAAGAAAACTCCGTCCCGTCGCGAAATGCCGACTGTGTCAGAGTTGCGAAGTTTCAAACTTGAACTGTGTGCACCTTTACGATCCTATAAAGCTCGAGATTTTTTATTCACATACAAAAATGACTGAAAACTTTTGGAATCCCTATACTTACTTATGAAAAATAACCAGTACCATTTTTAGTAGAATAAAGTTAATTTATATTGTATCCTTTATTACTATACAAACATATCTATAAATATTTTCTTTAAAGTAATAAAGTTTAGTAGCGAAATTTAATAATTAAGAAGTGTATTTTTTAAATCCTTCGCCGAGTTCTAAAACGTAACGCTATTGGTCGAAGCAAGTGACTTACTATCTATTATGGCCAACTTTTCATCTACATTAATTTATATAGAAATTTACTGTTAAAGTATATTACTGTGAATACTATTCAAAAACTAGCTTTTAAATATAAAATAAATAGATTTAATCATTAATTAAATCCTATTTGTACCGGGAATAACGAAATTGAAATAAAATATTTGTCGTATTTCCAAGTAAACATTTTCATTAACACACCATTATGTATTCTTTCGTGGTTGTATTGTCTAAAAATGGTTTATATCACGTTTATATGTGCTTTTACAAAGATATAGGTTTAATCACTTTTTTACTTTTGATAACTATGAAAACCAATCGACATTTTTGTTGTTTTACGAGAGTGTGTTTAGCCGTACGAGATTTCATTGTGATTATGTCTATTAAATAAAATGCGCATGTATATTCTCTTTTACTTAACATTTTTAAAATTTCTATAAAATGTCTTACTTTTTACTAATATTATAAATGCGAAAGTTTTATTAACAGTGGTAGAGACCTTTAAAATCTTAGCATGAAATGGAAAGCCGGGCCAAATCGTGGTGTAATTACTTCGACCACACAGAATTTAGGTGTGAAGTAGGAACAATTCCGCGTTTCGTCTGATGCGTGTGCGTGCCAGGTGCCTAATTGAGTTGCCATTTCCTTTTTAAGCCATTTACTTTTTAAATACGTAGCTTAAAGATCCTACAAAGAAATCGAACGAAAAAGATTTGTCGTAACGATTGAATTCAAATCTTATACGTTTGATGTCTGTATCGATTTGTTCACTGTAATCGATGTTTTTTAGCAGGTCATCTAACCATGAATGTAAAATTGATAGAAACCTAATGTGATGTGCCTATTTTATGAGAATAAAAAAAAGTTTCACAAATTTTGTTAAAGGCGGCACAAAGGTTAAGTTACACAATAGTTACTGGAGGACAAAGGTGCTTCACCGCCGAATATCCCGTGCGGTGACACCTTTATGCCGGAAATACAGTTTCGTCAGAGATCAGTGCGTATGGCACTGCAATCTCTCGACGTCAACAAGTGGGCCTGACGGTATTCCTCCCATTGTGCTTAGGCCATGCGCTCCTGAGTTGACACCGGTTTTAACGCGCCTGTTCCGGTTCCTGTACTCCATCGGCATAGTCCCGAAGTCATGGAAGACTGCCGTAATACACCCGATCCCAAAGAAAGGCGATAGTTCGGATCCGTCCAACTACAGACCGATTGCCATTACCCCCTTGTTCTCGAAAGTCATGGAAACGACCATCAATTGCCAGCTTATGAGGTACCTGGAGGAGCACCAGCTGTTAAGCGATAGTCAGTACGGTTTCCGTCAACGTCGCTCAGCTGGAGACCTTCTTGTGTACCTCATGCATAGATAGTCGGATGCAATCGAGGACAAGGGTGAGGCTCTGGCAGTTAGTTTGGACGTGACCAAGGCCTTTGATCGGGTGTGGCACAAAGTACTCCTTTCGAAGTTGCCTTCCTACGGGCTGCACGAGAAACTCTGCGCCTGGATTTTCAGCATCAAGGTCGTTGTCAACGGTGCATGCTCTGACCTGAAACCAATCAATGCTGGAGTCCCACAGGGCTGTGTACTGTCTCCCACCCTGTTTCATTTGCATATCAATGACATGCTGCGAATACGCAGCATTCATTGTTATGCAGACGATAACACTGTACACGGCTTGCGCTAATGTTTCTCGGGCTTCTGCCGATGAGAACCGGAATAAACTTGTGTCTGAGCTGGAGACCCTGTTGGGTAAAGTTTCGGATTGGGGTCGACAAAATCTTGTCTATTTCAATCCTAAAAAGACACAAGTATGCGCCATTACCGCTAAAAAAGATCCCTTCGTCGTCAATCTCCGGTTTCAGAACACTCCCCTGGTTGCCACAGCCAGTATCGGTATTCTCGGCGTTGATATATCGAGTGACGTGCAGTTCAGGGAGTGTTCCGAGGAGTTGTTTGGAACGATTCCTGCCGCCGAGTTTCGTCATCGGACGACACGACAGACCGCTAGGTACCATCCTCACCATGTTGATGGCTGGCATTCCACAACCGTGCGATTTTCGCGGGACTTTCTGCCCCGCACAACCGCGTTGTGGAACGGTCTGTCCTCGGAGATATTTCCAAACCAATGCGACTTAGGGTCCTTCAAGAAGCGAGCCTACAATTTCCTCAAAGGCTGGCAACGCCTCTGTAGTTCCTCTGGTGTTGCAGATGTCCATGGGCGTCGTTGACCTCCTTTGTGTTCCCGCCGCTCGTTAGCCCTCTTCTCATATAAAAAAAATACACTAATTAGGCGCTTGCTTTCTTTTAGACTTACCAGTAAGAAAAAAAATTAATACAGTCAACACTAAACTATGCTTATACACTACTTCGTGGCGTAGTATGTCAGCATTCACAGCATATTTTTGAATAATCCCTTAGGAGGCAAAGAAATAATATATAAACCTTCATGTGGGAAAAGGGACCATATATTACAAGCTGACAACATGAAGGTAGCAAGGTTGCCATGGGAACGGTAATTGTTATCCAATGTCAATGGCCTTTGTTGTCATTTGTGCATTTGAATTTTGACGTTTGCAATTAAAAAGAGTTTTTTTTATAATTTCATGCAGATGAATTCGCACGGGAACAGCTCGTCTATACTATCACAATATCTAATATATAGTATATCTACATATAACTATCTATTCAATACTAATATTATAAAAAGGAAATATTTGTACGATTTCTGTAGCGTAGACGCTGACGTAATATTAAGTTATGGATCAGGTTTGATTTGTCGGAAAGTTTTCTTCATATACCATACCCTGTTAAATTAATAGTTTAAAACTTTTTCTTTTGATAACATATATCTCTGATCCAAACTTTTTACAACTTTTTCTTATTTTCTCTACTTACTCGTACCTAATTAAACCGAAACATAATTTGGCGCAATGTTTATAACTAGCTCTTCCCGTGGGGCTTCATCCTCATAAAATTCTTAATTGCAAATGTCAAAATTACCGTTACCATAATAACCTCGCGTCCTTAATGTTTGCAGCTTGTTCTTTATGTTCCCATTCCCACATAGACGTTTATTTCTCCAATTTATTTAAATATACAACCTAAAGCGTGTCGTAAGTGTAGGGCATTTCATTAAAGTAGTGTGTGTTTACGAACGCTTTGTGAACGTTTGTGAACGCTAACATCGTATTTATAAATTAAAACTTACAAGAAAAGTTTTAAACAAGATAGCGCGAAAAGTGATTTTTACCATATTCAAATAATGTGTTTCAATAGTGTTTTTTTCATTGCATAAGAAGTTGAAGTGATGTGAAACGTTAATAAATTAGATAGATGATAACCTCTTCTCGCAACTAGATAAGTCCATAATCAGAACGAATAGTTTAAGGATTAAGCGAACAACTAAACCAATTTATGATTAAGCAGGGCTCGATTATTATTTGTGAAACTTAAGACACGAGTACGGTCCTGACGCATGCGTATAAGGGCTGTATTTACACGTCAGTTTGCTCTGCAGGTTCGCGATATGCGGTTCTGTTTCAGATATCGCTATTTAATTTTTTAGTTTTTAAAATTTCAAATAGTTACGTCAGTTTGTTTAAAAAGTGTTTTCGTCAACGTGCATTCTGAACAATATTTTATAATTGAGTATTCATTTCATGTATTTAGTTATGATAAACTTTAAAAGTTTGTAAAACTAATTCCTATTTACTGTATGAATAAAAATTAAGACGTGATTTGTGTGAACATATTTTTTGGATTATATTCGAGTATCTAGATTTGAGTGAGTATTTGCAATATTTAGTAAATTATGTCACACATCGTCATTTACACTAAAATTAAGTACTTTGTTATTCAATCGGAAATCCATGGCTTCTTTTTATTATTTAATGAAGAAAATAATAAAAAAGGTATAAACACATATATCCCATTACATATACGAGTATATGTAGGATTTTGATAAATTTACTATGAAACATTGTTATAATGATAGTATAGCTGTATTTTAGCCCCCATACGTTAACCCGCCACGTTTATAAGATCTGTGCGTCTAATTAATTCAGTATGATATTTAAAGATTGGTGAGTATTATTGTACGTCTAGTATTTTAGGTTCTTTCTCGCTGTCATAAACAATTTCAGGGCTCACCTGTATGTCCACCGTGAACATTTCTAAAGAAAGTAGGTACTGTAATGCTTACGAGTTTTTTTTCAAGTCTATTGTATTAAATAGTTTTTCAGGAATAAAGCGAGTAGAACTATTAAGATTTATGTTTTAAGGTGGTTAAAATAACCCGATGAACATAAAAATAGTTGCTGCGTGCAAAGAATTCGCCGGAAAATATTCCTGTGTGTGTCGTAAAAACGACCTGGTAATGTTAAAACGGTACATGATTTTACACTATGTAGTTGGAATGTGCGGTCTCTATACAGAGACGCTGGACTTAAATTACTATGTCAACAGTTAACAACACACGGCGCCAACATAACAGCAATACAGGAAATGAGGTGGACAGGACAGGGAATAATAGAAAAGCCGCATTTTAATACATATTACAGCTGCCATGAGGAGCATCACATTTTCGGAACGGGCTTTATAGTTGACCGGAAAATTAAGCCATTAGTTATCGATTTTAAACCAGTTAGTGAACGGCTATGCACTCTTCGGATTAAAGGAAAATTTTACAACTATACAATTATAAATG